CTCACCCAGCTAGTTTTTTGTATTTTTTAGTAGAGATGGGGTTTCACCGTGTTAGCCAGGATGGTCTCGATCTCCTGACCTCGTGATCCACCCGTCTTGGCCTCCCAAAGTGCTGGGATTACAGGCTTGAGCCACCGCGCCCGGCCAAGAGAATTTCTTTAACCTGGGAGGCGGAGGTTGCAGTGAGCCGAGATCATGCCATTGCATTCTAGCCTGGGTGACAGAGTAAGACTCTGTCTCAAAAAAAATAAAAATAAAGAAAAATAAAAAGTAAAATAAAAAAAATTGCAGGCTGGGCGTGGTGGCTTGTGCCTGTAATCCCAGCACTTTCAGAGGTGAGACAGGCGATCACCTGAGGCCAGGAGTTGGAGACCAGCCTGACCAACATGGAGAAACTGTCTTTACTGAAAGTACACTATTAGCCGGGCATGGTGGCACACCCCTGTAATCCCAGCTACTCAGGAAGCTGAGGCAGGAGAATTGCTTGAACTCGGGAGGTGGAGGTTGCAGTTAGCCGAGATGGTGCCACTGCACTCCAGCCTGGGCAACAGAAAGTGACTCCTGAAAAAAAAAAAGATCAAAATGACCCAGGCCATCTGCTCGGCTTGCCACACACGTTTCTGGGTGCTGGTCCTCCCTCGAAGCACCCTGCACCCACGTGTGCCTGTCAAGGACACTGAGGCCCCACGGCCCGACTCGACAGTACCCTTCCTCAGCTCCCTCCGGGTGCCCTGGATCCTGCTGTCCTGGGGGCTCTTCTCTGACTCCTTGGTCAGTCTCTTCCCACTTCCCAGAGCAGTGCCCTTGGCCAGTCCTCTGGCTTCTTGGTGGGATTCAGCCTCCCTCTCCAGCCACTGAAGTTGTCATCCTGCTTGATGGCCCCCCTTGGCCGTCTGAGAGGCAGCCCCCACACAGCCCGTGCAGAGCCCACCTGCCTCCTCCATGCCCTCTTGCTCAACGTCCCAAGCCCCCGCAGAATACCACGCGACTCGATTTTCACCATCTTCCTTTCTCTACACACCTCATTCCATCAGCTCTACATGCCACAGATGGCAAGAGATCCTGGTGTTCTCAGCCGCTAAGAAAGAAAAACGCTACAGTGACACCCTGGCACGTCCCTTGTCCTGACAGCAGAGTTGCTAAGATGTGGAACGTGGCTCTTGGAACCCAGAAGTGTGGTGTGTGCTGCTTTCCCTGGGGGCAGCGGCTGGCGCACGGAACACGCTGTGAACGGACGGTGTCCACCACCCACTGCCTCCCCACCAGGCCCGGCCTTGACTCGGGCTCTGCTGAGGCACTTGGGGAGAGGCCCTGGTGGTGGGCTTGACAAACTCCACCCGATGAGTCACTGGCTGGAGCTGCAGTAAGTCAGGAGTCCTGGGCCAGGGTGCAGTCACCAGAGACGAGAGGTGGGTGTGGAGCAGCTGACAGCAAGAAGCGCACCGCCTCTGAGCCCAGCCTGGCCGGGTGCGCTGGGACCTGATTGCACTCAGAAGACCTGGTGCTGCCCTGGGCTTCAGTGAGGAGTGGGGAGGGATGGCAGGCAGCCTCAGCCTCCCCTGTGGCCAGAGTTGAGCCACGCCTGGCCAGGTGGTGGACCTGTTTCCCAGGCCTCGGGGCTGTGGAAGCAGCTCTGCCTCGCACTGCATGCCCAGGCAGAGCCCACCAGGGAAGCAGCTGTCACCGAGTGACGCAGGCCATGAGGGACGCAGTGGCAGGGACAGAGCCAGGGCCGGGCCACCACACACACAGGGCAGGCCCGGTGAGCGGGGATGTGTGCTCAGAGTCCCCGGAGGGTGGAGAGAACACACAGGCAGGCCTTGGGGAGCCGCCCAGGCAGGAGGGTCACAGGAGTATCTTTATTGTGGGGAGGGGCCCGGCTCCCAAAGTCCTGACACCAAAGACAGACACAAGATGGGCAGCTGCAGACAGTGAGTTGTGTGGATGACCAGGGCCTGTGTGGCGGATAGGGGACCAGGAGTCATCGCCTCAGACTCTGCCCTTCCGTGCAGAGGCTGGCGCCACGGGCTCAGGCATGCAGGAAGCGGTTGAAGGCGTTGTAGGCTGACTCCAGGTCGAACAGCATCTGACGCACCTGTGAGTCGTCCAGCTCGTCTGATGCCGACATGCCGCTCAGGGTCTGCAGCCTGGGAGTGCAGCACGGGGCATGTGGGGTGGGCAGAGCCTCAGGGGCACCGCGGGGGCTCTGCCTGGCGGGGAGGGTATCAGGGGCACCACGGGGGCTCTGCCTGGCAGGGAGGGCCTCAGGGGCACCGCGGGGGCTCTGCCTGGCGGGGAGGGTCTCAGGGGCACCGCGGGGACTCTGCCTGGCGGGGAGAGTCTCAGGGGCACCGCGGGGACTCTGCCTGGCGGGGAGGGACTCACACCACTGGCTGACTGTCTGGCTGGCGGGGAGGGACACCCACCACTGGCTGACTGTCTGGCGACCCTCGAAGTCGGGCGGGAGGTGGCTCATTCGGTGCATGGTCTCCATCAGCTCTCGCAGGTCGGGCTGGATCTGGGACACACAGCGGCTGGGACCCCAACACTGGCTCCATCCCCTCCTGCCTAGGCCCCCTGCCAGCCCAATGCCCTCACCTCATCCATGGCGCGAATCTCCAGGCGCAGCTTGTCCATGATCGTGATGAAGAGCTGGGGGCAGGTGTGCACGTGAGGCTTGCGTGTTCAGGGGTGGGGGTGGCCCCACAGCTCACAGGCCCCAACCCCTTCCCAGCCACAGCTGTCACTAGGCCTCCTCACTGTACTCTGCTCCCAAACCCTGCGGGCCTCCTGAGTGAACGAGGTCCTGGCTGCCCAGACAGCTGCATGGGAACTGGAGGGTGGGCCCACACACTATCTCCCGAGGCCAGGACCCCACCAGAACGCACTGTGCTCATCACCCCAACAGGAGTCCAGGTGGCCTGGGGGGCCTCCCCGTAGGCTGCCAATCCCTCATCCCTAGTTAAAAGGGTCCCCTTCCGCCCAACAAGTCAGAGTGCTACCCAGCTCTGGTGGTCCAGGACTCTACCCTTGTGCCCAGCTGCAGCGGGCGGCCCCGGCCCTCCTAACCCTGTGAGCCCTGGGGGCTGGGGCGCACCGAGACTACGTCGGCAATGCAGCGGTTGAGGTTGCCCTTGTCGTCCTTGATGGTGATGGGTCGGTCCTCCTTGATCCGCTCCATGGCCAGTGGACAATCCAGCTGTGGGGGGCTGACATGGATGCTGGAGCTCTCAGGACAGTAAGCCCCACGTGGTCAGAGCCCTCCGGCACCCCATACCCACGCCTGACAGTCCCCGTCCCATGGGGGTGGAAGGACCAGGCACTCACGCGGAACTTGCGGCAGAACTCGTCAATAGTGCTGATTTCTGAGCCCTGAACCTGCCTGAAGGCAGCTTTGTACTGGACCAGGAGCCGGGAGCAGGCTGCCGTGTACCTAGGGAGAGGTCAGCTGCGGCCCAAGCACGGGACCAGCGTCGCCCAGCTCATCCTGCCCCCTCAGCTGGTCCAGAGGCAGAGCAGCTTCCAGAGAGGGCCGGGCAACAGGCAAAGGCAGGCCGAGCAAGGAGGAGGGACTGCTAGCAGCTTGGGGGGCGAGGCCCTGAGCACGTAGTAGGGTTTGTAGCTCAGCTCCAGGTGGAAGCCCCAGCTCCCCACCCCTGCCCACCCTCTGAACGACAGCAACCAGCCCTCTGTTATGATGGCCCCATCCATAGCTCATGGTCCTGTGTGGCGGCCTGTGAGGGTCTTGTCACTTCATTGCACAAAGCCCCCCAAAACATCCTGAGACATCCCCAAGCCTCCCGACCGTCTTTTAAGGTTGGCTGTGCTGGGGGATAAGGGTGGGGGAGTGGGCCGGATGACACCCCAGGGGCTGCCCCTCTGCCCGCCTCCCTCCCCACCCCCCAGGACTTCCCTGGCTGAGACCCAGGGGCATCCTCCTCACGCTGGGTGGGCCCCACACGGGTGGGCACCTCACAGCCTGACAGACGCCTGTTCTTGCTGTCTACGGAGCACCCAGGCCTGGCAGGGCAGGAGCAGGCCTCCAAGGACGTGGGCTCTTACTCGCTGGGGGAGACGCAGTCCTTGATGTAGGCTTTCTCCAGGGCTTGCATTGTTTTCACCACCGCGAACAGCTCTGCCATGTTGTCGTACCTGAGGACACACCTGTCTATCGGGCCCCGGGGTGCCAAGCCCAGAGCACTATCCCCTGCCCGGAGGTGCCACTGTGGGAGCTCTGCCCACCTCTCGCTCCATCCTGGAGTGCCTCAGGAACGGTTCCCCAGCCTGACCCTGTATCCTCCCACCTCTCAGTGTGGGATGGGTCTGGGGGAGGCTGCCCCAGGGCAGCCAGATGCGCACGGGTGTGTTGGGGCAGCCTGGGTGGCTAGACTTACTTCTCCCGCTCCCGGGCGTTCTTGTACAACTTCACTTCCTGCCGGAGAGAGCAGGCTCTGTGGGCTGGTGCCAGCAGGGGCTGCAGAGCCCTGGCAAGGCCACACAGGTGTTTGCTGTTGGCCAATGCTGGCCGGGTATGCACTCACCACTCACCTCATACAGCTCTGGCTTGTTCCCAGGGGCTGCAAGAGAAGGCAGAGAGCTGGCAGGCTGGCCCCAAAGGGAACCCAAGGGTAGGCTCCAGTCCCAGCCTCTATTTCAGTTCCTCCCTGAGGCCTCCCAGGCTGGGTCCCAAAGAACCCAGAGGGAGCTGGAGCACAGGGGTTCCAACCTCACCCCATCAGTGTGTGGGGGGACCTGAGGATAACGCCTCTAAGAAGCCGGGGGCCGCATGACAGGCCCAGCTCCCCAGCTCCACTGCGGCTCCCTGGCCGAGTCACCTGCGCAAGTGGCCACGTCCTGCTCGTGACTCATGATGCAGTGCCAACAAGGCTCATCACACACGGCCTCTCCCCTGGGTTTGGTGACACAGGGTGCCCAGGACCCCCACGGTTCTGGCCACACTGAAGCTCATCATGTCTGCCCAGCAGGACCAAGCCAGTTCTGCCTGGAGAAGGTTTCTGGGCCCTCAGTGCTCCTGTGATAAACTGCATCAGCCCCTGGCCACCCCCAAGGCTGTATGAGAGCAGGGTCAGATGCCTCCCCATTCCTGACGCCTAATACCCAATACTGCCCGTCAGCCCCTGCAGCAGGGGCTGAAAGCCTGTGCCTTCCGGCCACACTCACCTCCGATGCCCGGAGTGGCTGGGATCCCGTGAAACATCCTCTAGGCTCTGTGGCGGCCACAGCACTGAGACCTGGGGAGCAGAGCCAGGGCCGACTCAAAGATGGCCCCTAAGCCAGGTGTGGTGGCTCACACCTGTAATCCCAGCACTTTGGGAGGCCAAGACAAGCGGATCACCTGAGGTCAGGAGTTCGAGACCAGCCTGGCCAACATGGTGAAACCCCGTCTCTACTAAAAATACAAAATTAGCTGGGCGTGGTGTCACACACCTGTAATCCCAGCTACTCAGGAGGCTGAGGCAGGAGAATCGCTTGAACCCAGGAGGTGAAGGTTTCAATGAGCCAAGACTGAGCCACTGCATTCCAGCCTGGGAGACAAAGCAAGACCCTGTCTCAAAACAAACAAACAAACAAACAAACAAACAAAAAACAACAAAAAAGACAGCCCCTAAGCACCAGGTCCTGGAGACCCAGGGCGCCACGAAGAGCTCTCCCGAGCTCAACAGTGGTGAACACACAGGGTGCTATGGGGGCTGCCAGGAAAAACTGAGGTACTGTGGACACTAAGGACAGCGGGGTGGGGGCTGCCTTGGGGTGCGGTCCAAGCTGGAGGTTGAGGGAGCTGATGAGGGAGCTGATGAGGGAGGCAGGCAGCTGTTTGATGGCCGGGGAAGAGAGTTCGGGGCACAGGAACAACAACTCAACAGCTCGCCTTTAAGTCGGCATGAACTTGGAGGAACAAACAAGCTGAGGGTGGAGCTTCTCGAGCGAGGGGGTCCTAGAGCATGAAGACGGAGAGGTGCCTCTAGGTGGGCAGCGAGCTGGGGAGAAAGAATGGAAGCGGAGCCCGTGGGAGGGTCCTGCCTAGTGCGGAAGCTGGGCCAGCTCCAGACTTCTCTCTTTGTAAGTGGAACCGTCAGATCCGCCGAGGGATCTGAGGTAGGATTAAAATAAAGGAGTTACGAACGACAGCCTGTTTCTGGCCCAGCGGGCGGGAGAGTAAGGTAAACTCGGACGGAGAAGGGAGAAGGGAGGGGAGCGGGCCTGGCGGGCAGGCGCAGGCAGCTCTCGGCGGAGAGGCCCGGGAGGGCAGCGCTGAGCCGGCTAACTGCGGGAGCGGACGGTGCTACCGGGGATGGGAGAAGAGCAGAAGGGAGGGAAGGCGGCCCGCGCCGAAGAGCCGGGAAAGAGCAGCGCCGCTCATGTGGGAAGGGAACGTCTGGGTCAAGCTCTCCAAGGGTCGAGGCCATTGCGAGCCGCGGGGTGGGGACCGAGGCTGCTCGGCAGCCGTCACGGAGCCGCCAGGTAGGAGAGGGCCGAGGAGCCAACCGCCCCAACCACGCAGGGGCTTCTGCCCAACAGCGAAAGCGGACGTTCTGCAGCCACGAGCGAATGTGCAAAGCAACCGCGCACAGTGGACAATGAGCAAGAAAAGCGTTTCTAAAACATGCCCATAACATGACTTTTGCGGCACTCAGCCGAGGCTGTGCCGGGGCCCAGGCGCGCCCCGAGGGTGCCAGGGCCGGGATCGCCTCTCC